CATAAGTTGGGGCCGTTGGGCTCGGGCTGAAATGCAGGGCTCTAAAGCGCAGCTTGTTGCATTTAAGCAGCAAAAATACACACAAAATGACACCAAAATGGCCATCCTGGCCACACAGTTAAATAAATGATAATATTCAGTGATGTGAAATGTGGAGTAAGGTCTGGCGCAGTTGCAGCTTGTACTTATTACTAAAACAAGAAAGCAAACGAGTAGCATTAATAGTCATTCATTTTAGTTAACATATGCTATGATAATTTGAACAGATTTGTATTCTTATTGTAAAATAATGGAACATTTAGGTCATGAATATTGTCTCAAAAGTCATGGAAAAGTCATGGAAATGTATTGGTAAAAATGTGTACGAACCCTGTAAATAATAAAGGGCCTAATATTGATCCTTGGGGTACACCCATTGTACAGTTTAAGTTATTGGAATGAAACCCTTTAATTTGTACACATTGCTGTCTATATATTATATTATAGACTACACAACATTATTATATTATTTTGTAATATAATATAGTTTTAAATTATTATTATTTTAAATTACTGTCCCTGGATCAGTGGGTACTCTTGTAAGAAACAGCAGTGGCTGGGGCAGATTTTAAGTATCAATTCTGCTTAAAAAGATGCAATCTAATCCTGTTTACATGAAATAAACTGCTCCCGAGCAGGTTTAAGCTTACGGACCTGTTGCAATGACAGCAACTCCGGGATGAGCTTAAAAAAAACAAAAACAATCCAAGATCAAGCCAAATCATCAACAATCAAATCCAGCTAACTGAGTTAGCGATGTACGAAGAACGGGCCCCTGGTTTGTATTACACATTTTTTAAAATGCTATATTTACATATGCAAATTATACATTATAATATAATTAAATATGCAATCATTTGCATACATTCTCCAGACAGGATTCGGAACACTGGGTGAGTCGGGTTCTAAATTCTTGTTTGATTTTGTTGACATATTAGAAGTAGGCTTTTACAGAGGAGATTTGGATTTTGGACTATTTTTATCACTCCATTATTTAGAATATACTGTCAACAGGCATAAAAAATAAATTTCCCGCATGTTATTAGGAATAAAATTATATGTTACATAAGCAAAATAGCATAAATTCTCAAAATTGACCAGTGCATGAAAAAAACATGTTTTTGCCTTAAACATGATTATATATTTTTTACTGGAAAACCAGATTCAAGCACTAATGAAGAAAATGCAGTGTTGTGCGGTGGACTGATGAAACGATCTCTCTCACCTTCACTGAGCCCAGCATGCCACCGACAAACAGGTAAGCATTCTGGTCCACATCCAGCACGGTGTAAGTCTCGGGTGATTTAGCACTTCTGAGGGTCGGTAAGATGCCAGTTTTGGGCCCCTCCAGCGCATGGACGGAGACACTGCCGTTCAGCCCGATACTGGACACCACGAAAACATGAGAATAAGACCTTGAGTCGCTGATAACCAGCAATACTAATAAATAGCTACTAATAAACAGCTGTTTTCCCTTTTCAGTCATGATTAATAGAAGGATCGTACTGTACACTACAAATAGTAATCAATGTTTCCCCCAAAAAATTGTTTATCTGTACTTCTGTCATTAGATGAACATGTGAACTGAAATAACATTTTAGTTTTGTCTAATGTAAATAAATTTTGTAATTTATATAAAATAAAATTCACATTTGTCTAGAGAACTAACATCTGGGAAGGAATCAGAAACACTGAAGCAGAAGCATTTGATAAGAAGTAATTATATTTTACCAGAAATTATGGTTTTATTGAATTAACACTTCAATAAACACACTGATTGCACTCAGCACGAATTGCACACACCTGTTTACACT